TATTTTGAAGTTAAAATAGGTTTATTATTTACATGTTTTAGTCCTTGGAAAGGACATTTACAATTAAGAATGTGCTATATTGAGAGTGGGATTCCTGGTGTGGCACCATAGGATAAGCACTGGACATCAGGGTCAGTTTGGATCTCAAGGTAAGTGGGTTAAACTCACCAGCCACTTCTAGGAAACCTTATACAGAGTTGCTATGAGTCAGAACTGATTCCACGGCACTTAACGACAACAGCATTGAAAGTAAAATTAATTTTTAATTATGTAAATAATCATGTAGCAAGTAATTGTGCTTTTGCATAGTACTTAAGTTAATAATAAACTTTTCGCTATTTTTCACACCTGTGTATACGTCAGTGTTGCAGAGCATTTCTAACGCTTCAGAGTGTTTTCCCCAGACCACTAGGACTATAAAATTAAAGGAAAAAGAAAATAAAAAAATGTAGGAACCACTTTGTACACTAATTTCTTACTGTAATTAAATAAATGATTTTTGAAATGGTCAGAATAAACTAAAACAGAACCCCAGATCTGTTGCCAGTGAGTCATTTCCAACTCGTGGCAGCCCCATTTGTTACGGTGCAATAAAACTCTGTCTGGTTTTCATGGGTATGATTCTTACAGTGACAGATTGCCACGTCTTTCTTTCATTGTGCCACTAGGTGTGTTTGAACCAGTAAACTTAAGGTTAGCAATCAAGTGTACACCGTTTTTAGCACCTGTAGATCTCTTAGCAGTGTATTAAAGGCTTTTGAGACGACTACTAATTAATCTGTTGTTTACTTTCTTTGAGTCAGTTCCCACTCAGAGACCTGGTAAACGTTTTCTGAGACTATAAATCTTTGCAGAAGTACAAAGCTTTATCTTTCTCCCTCAGAGCCTTGTTGTTGTTATGTGCTGTGGAGTCCGTTCTGACTCATGGTGACCCTGCACAGGTTTTCCGAAGCTGTAAATCTCTACGGGAACAGAAAGCCTCATCTTTCTCCTGTGGAACAGCTGGTAGTTTTGAACTGCTGACCTTGAGGTTAGCAGCCCTATTCGTAACCACTATGCTACCAGAGCTCCTAGTATTTTATAAATAGTTTTGATCAGAAAACTCAACTATGTTGTTGTTTTTGTTGGTAAGTGCCAGTGAATCGGTTCTGACCTGTAGCGACCCTTTATAGTGTTTCTGAGGAGCAGCTGGGTGGGTTTGAACCGCTGACCTTTTGATTCAATCTGACCTTGCGGTCCAGTGCATTATCCTGCAGCACCACACCAGGACTCATAATACCTATAAAATGGCTCTAAATCACAGAGGTGCTTGATAAATGTTTGTTAGCTAAATGAATGAACTACAAACACACTTTGGTGACTGCTGTCTTCTAGAACATCAAGAAAAGCATTTGATCTGGCTCCAAATAAAGAAGCCCTCATGGTACAGTTGTTACACACCTATGTGCTAACTGAAAAGTCAGCTCTTTGAGTTCACCAACTACTTTGTGGGAGAAATACTTCCATAAAGATTACAGCCTTGGAAAATCTGTGGGTACTTAGGGTTGATAGGAGTTTGGATAAACTGACCAGCAGTAAGGTCTTAGGTTTTAGCTACCAATACAGTACTGTTATTTCATTGACTCAAAAGCACATCTTTTTACAATGTCTTTGGAATAAGGATGTACCATCTATTATTGGAATCTGAACTGTCACTGTTGGTCATATGTCAATAAGGGTCATAGCCTGCACCTCAATTCACTTAGTTGGTATTTCCTGGCAGTATCACCAGACTATATCATCTCTTCAAGATTTAAGTCAGCAATCATTTAAGGGAAATTAGAACAAGGAGTATGAGCCTTGGTTATTTCTCAGAAGTCTTATGTTGCTACCTCCTAATAGAACTTGCCGTTTTTATGAAGAGATTTTAGGAATATTCTTATCAATGTATTCAGCTTACATTCTTGCTTATGTAAGAAGGTGGTAGATAATTAAAGTATTGCAAGTCTAATTCTGAAATGATAAACATTGATTGGGTCATAGATTAATTGGCAGTGTTTTTCTCATTTAGTGTTATATGATAAAAGATACATCTTACAATGTGTGGTGTCATGTTGTTGTTAAGTGCCGTCGAGTTGATTCTGACCCATAGCGACCCTGTATAGGGTTTTCAAGGAGTAGCTGGTGAGCTTCAACCACAGACTTTGCGGTTCAAACAACTTTGTAGTCTGATGCATTAGGCCACAGAGCCATACCAGGTCATACAGATAATAAAATGCAGTGTTTGGTGAACAGTTTTCGTTTAAAATAAAAGCGAATTGTTGTTAAGTGCAATTGAGTCTGTTTTGAATCATAGCGACCCTGTATAAGGTTTCCAAGAAGCAGCTGGTCAGCTTGAACCACTGACCTTGCAGTCCAGCCCCGCAGTGTCCTAAAAAATAAATCATATTTTAGAATTATAGAATTGATTGTATGCATCTCATCCATACTAACCATCTTTTATAGTTCTAATTAATACACACATACTTTTTATTTCTTTTTTTGATCTTTTAGTTCAAAGTTCCTGCAGCAACAAGTGCAATTATTACCAATGGTAAGTTATTTAAAGATTTTTTATTATTTCAGAGCTATAGAAATTGGTTTAAAGGAAACATATTAATTTAAATTGGCTTAAATTAAATAAAGCCCCAAATTTATATCAACATCAAATGACACATGAAATTGTAAATGTTAAATATTGAGTTATTTCTGTTATCTGTAGTTGTTGTCAAATGGCACGGAGTCGGTTCTGACTTATACTGACTTTGTATAGGGTTTCTAAAGAGTGGCTGGTTAGTTTGAACCGCCAGCCTGCGTTTAACACCCAGTGCTTATCTTATAATGCCACACTAGGAGTCCATATCTGTAACTAGCTCTTTTCAATTTATTTGTGCTTTTGGTACAGCATAGCACTGTATCTTAAATCCATATCACTTCATAGCAACTTATTGCTGAAAATAACTTTAGTTAACAAATTTTACTTTTGCTTTTTCAACAAAGTTGTATTGCTAAATGCTTTAGATTATAGAAAATTAATCAGTAATGCATCTTTGCTGTACTTTGCTACTTCTTTCCTGAAAGAAAACTGGTTCTTACAGACTTGTAGATATCTGAGAACATTGATAATAAGTATGTACAACTAACTATGAGAAAATACTGAAATGATGAGGTTAGTAATAAAGATCACAAAGAATGCTAAATTATCTTTCCAGAATACAAGTAACACTGATTCCTTGCAATTGGTACTTAAAACAGTTTGGGTAAACCAAGAGATAAAGAATTCTATGTACGAATAGGATGATTTAGCTTTGATATAGCAGGATTTTTCACTTTAAAGCATTCTTCATGCTGAGACTGAAGTTGGCCTATTTTCTGCAAAGTTTTAGTTACACAAATGAATAACTCATAAGAACGTACCTTGTAAATTCTCAAGTATCTGTGGAACAGAAATAAATAACTTTGTAGGCTCCCCTGGCTGTAAGATTTTATGCCTCAGCTCAATATGAGAATGGTTAATGATAGCCCTCAGGTGCTTTGAGCTTTTGGAAGAAATGACTTTTTAACTGTATGTGGTATAAATAGAATTAAATCTATCTTCTGTAGAACTTGCAAGCATTATTGCATTGATGGATGTTCTTATCTAATTGCGCAATGTGTGTAAATGCGTGTAAGTAATAGGTTTCAACAGGCAGTTTACTTATCTGAAAAATAACTTACTTGTTCTTAGATTTAAATTGTATGACACTGTTCAGTGTTGTAGCATTATTTTGGCATATCTCTTCTTATTAATATTTAAAAAAAAATTAGTTTTACAAATAACTTAGGTGATTTTACAACTATTTTCTAGATGGAATAGGAATAAATCCTGCACAGACTGCTGGTGAGTATTTTATTTCAAAATCCTTGAAATGATAGAATGATTTGGTGGTAGAATATGTTAATTGTTATGAAATATTTTATTCAACAAGATAATAGCTATTTTTATGGATTATGTAGCATATTTTTATCTGTATGTGTCTGTAAAACTGGTTTTAAACATAGCAGCAATTGTGAGGATGTTGCAAGACTGAGCAGCATTTTGTTCTTTCGTATATGGTGGTGGTTATGTGCCGTGGAGTCGGCTCCAACTCATAGCGACCCTGTACAGGGTTTCCGAGGCTGTAAATCTTTACAGGAGCAGAAAGCCTCCTCTTTCTCCCACGGAACAGCTGGTAGTTTCGAACTGCTGACTTTGTGGTTCACAGCCCAATTTGTAACCACTATGCTACCAGAGCGCCTTAATTAATATATGAGGGGTCTTCAAAAAAGAACACAGAAAAATTCCATTAGCATTTAATTCCATTTTTCCATAGAGTATGATGGTAAGATTGTCCTATTTGATGATGATAGTTGTGAGATGGTGGTTCTTTTTAGGTGCCGTTGAGTTGGTTCCAACCCATAACAACCCTGTGTACAACAGAATGAAACATTGCTCCATCCTCTGTCATGTTCATAATTGCTGCTACGCTTGTGCCCATTGTTGCTGCCACTGTGCCAGTCCATTTCTTTGGGGGTCTCCCTCTTTTCCTGCCCCTCCTTCCACTTTACCAAGCATGATGTGCTTCTCCAAGGACTGGTCTCTTCTTTTTTTTTTTTTT